CAGAATTCATATGGAAAGAAAAGATGTGGCAAAGTTGCTTCTTTAAGAATTTTAAGCAGAGCCAATGATATGTCAGAAATTTATCCTTAAATATCAATTCTTCACTCTCTCCAAAGCTTTCACTTGGACTAGTCTCTCTCTGAGACTGCTGTTATTTTCTTGTTCTAACCTGAAATTTTCTTTCTTTGCTGTTGGACAGGAGTCTAATGAAGGAGTAACCATTTTTGTTTTATGACATTTGGTGTAGCAGTAGAATTCTTTGTTTAAAAAAAAGCCTTTTAAGTGTGTTTGCCATTTATTAAAGATAACTTATGTTTTCTGTACTCTGTCTTTATTATACGAAACATAGCTACAAGCAAAAAAATCCTTGCTCTATAGATAAAAGCAAAAGTTTTTGGTAACATTAGAATTTTTGTTTTCATGTCAACATTATTTTTTAAAAGTTGACTAGGGTGGAGGGAAGGGGTAGAAGAATTTCAGGTAAGAGTTACCATCATCAGTTACTTGTAAATCTTAGTGCTTCTGTTTATGTGCTGCCCTTTGACTGCTTCTCAATATTTTATTTTCCTATAAAATGAGAAAGGAAGAGTAAGTAATATGTCTGTATTAGACTCACGGTAAATGACTACTTTCTTTAAAGGGCATATTCCTTTGTGGTATAGGTCAGTTTAATTTGAACAAACTGTGATAGGTATGCTCATTTTTTTATAGGTCTGTGGGAATTGGTATAGAGAATATTACTTGAAATAAATGGGTAATTGGCTATGTTTTGTCTTTTTGTGATGGCATATTTGTAATAGGACTTAATTGGAATGGTCACCTACAGTTTGTTTTTTGCTGACTTTTAAAAGTTGGTGATTTTACAGTTAACAAAGATAGTTGGATTTTTTTTTTTTCTTAAATTAGTTGTATTTTAGTACTGGAGCCCTACATAGGCTCTGATTTACTCACTTAAGTAAAGGAGGGGCAGCTCTTTTACTTGCAGGTGCTCCCACCAGATCCTGTTGCCCTGTTTTGCTCTTTTGTTCTTCCTCCTTTCCTTGAGCAGTAATTGGGCTATTACAGTATATTTCCTTTACTTTTTTATCCTTATTTACTACTCAGAACTGGCTACTTCTCACCAGTGCATCGTGTGTCTGTGCTTTGGTACAGGTGCCAGGAAGAGGTGGGTACAGGTGGTCCAGGGCTGCTTCGTGGCCCCTCCCTTAGCACTCTCCAGTCAGCCAAACCAATTTGGGCCATCATTTCATATGCTTGGGATGAGCATTGATGATTTGAAACTTACTACAGGGGTATTAGATCTTGTTTTCTCATGTTTTAATTTAGCTACATATTTATAAATGTAAGATAAACGTGTAGATTTTACCAATTTAAGAGACTAGTAGTAGTATTAGAAACTGGCACTTTCCCCCTCCAAAGATATTGATCTTCTTTAACATTATTTGTAAGCCTGTGGGACTTCTCCCTATCAGTATGCTCCACATTGAGAAGAATAGAAGGGGCATTTTCCTCTGGGACTGGCAGGTTTTCAGACTGCCTGCTGTCCTCATAAAACATGTGATTTAAGAAGACATTTTACTATGGGCTCTCATAGGAGACTTCAGATTTTGGATGCAATCTATCCACAATAAGCAGGGATTTTTGTTGTTTTTGTTTCTAACTTCAAGTGAAAGAATCTGTTTTGGAGAGAAACCCAGTTAATCTTAGACTCAATCCAGCTCAGTGACTGATGATCACTTTGCATACAATCATTCTTGTTTCTGAATGGTCATCCATGCTTGCTCTGAAGTGGGGAGTAGGAGGGGCGCCTGGGTGGCGCAGTCGCTCGTCTCAGGCTTGTGAGTTCGAGCCCCATGTTGGGCTCTGTTAACAGCTCAGAGCTTGGAGCCTGCTTCAGATTCTGTCTCCCTCTCTCTCTCTCTGCCCCTCCCCAGCTCATGCTCTGTCTCTGTCTCTCTCAAAAATAAACATTAAAAATAATAACAAAATTGAAGTGGGGAGAAGGAGACGTCTTTTCAATTAAGCTGCACCTTAATCTGTCTCTACCTGGATGTTATTTGAATCCCCAAACCCAGAGAGCTGCTCCATCCTCCCGTCTGTAGCTGCTTGTGTAATTCCATCATCTTTCCATTGTCTCTTTCCATTGTCTTAGAACATTTATTTCTGAGAACAAAGTATGGATCAGGAAAATGACTCAACCACTAAAATAACTGAGGATGATTTCTCAACTTTTAAATTGACTTTGGCATCTACAATAACAAATTGCATGTACTTGTGATGTAATATTTGCTGAAAGTCATTGGCTATCCATTTTCTATAGTGCTTTTCTTAAAAAAAAAAAATTAAAGGTAGAAATGAGATCACCTTTAACTAGCAAAGACAGATTATGAGGCTTGAAATCTGTTATAGAATTTGAATGTTGGAAGTATGAATTGAAACCATTCCCACTTGATCATCTTTGATTTAGTACTCAATTGAACATCCCTAAAAGGACGACTCATTTCATAATAGCCCCGTGCTTGCATGCCTTTGCATTCTTTTGCAGGGGGAGAGAAAAAAAAAAAAAATTAAAGTTTACTCCAAACTAGGGGCACCTAGGTGGTTTAGTCGGTTTAATGTCGACTTTGGCTCAGATCATGATCTCACGGTTCTTGGGTTCCAGCCCCATGACAGCTCAGAGCCTGGAGTCTGCTTCAGATTCTGTGTCTACCTCTCTCTCTGCCCCTCAACCGCTCATGCTCTCTCTCTGTCTCAAAAATAAATAAACATTAAAAAAAAAACCATAAAAAAGTTTACTCCAAACTAAAATGGCTCGGGTTTGGTTTGAAATACTCAAAGTAGGTTTGGTGACATAGGAAAATGAACATCTTTGTTCTTCAGGAACTGTCTTTCTTTGAAGGAATACTAAAGATATGTTATTGAGTTTAATAAACGATTTGCCTCAAATTAAATGATAGCAGCTAATTCCAAGAATCAAACAAATGTAATAAAGTAGAAAACAGAATCAAAGATCTGAAGTATTCCCTATATTCAAGGTATTATGTGGGCAGTTAGACTAGGTGACCTCAAAGATCACTTTCACCTCTTAGTATATGCATCAGCTACAGCATATCCAGAGAAACAGGCAGGAGACAACTCCATGTGAAAAAAGTGTGACCGTCCACCTCTTAGGAGGAAGGAAGGAAAGACTATTGCAGCTAGATGCGTTTGGTTTGGACTGAGGTTGGACTTTGCACAGCTTTTGACAGATAGCCTGGATACACGAAGCCATCTTCCCTCAATTAAAAAGGAAAAAATCACAAGCACTTCTTCTCTCCCCTGCACCCCCAATAGAAGTCTTAACTGTGGGTCAGCTTTTATCGACCTTTTTGAATAAGATACTTTATTCCTCTGGAATTTCAGAAACAATTTGTTTTCTGAAAAACACATGCCATTTGGATACCCTTTAAGTTGACATGTGATTGAAACTTTTGTTTTAATAATTCCATTTTCTCTAAAGGCTGCCTTTATATTTATTAAAGATGACAAAACAAAAACCACTTCTTCTTTCATTACATTTTCTGCTTTCATGTTCTGTCATTCAGAGATCTTTTTTTCTTTCCCTCTCTCTGTCTTCTTTTCCCCCAGCTGTCGGCAGCATCCAGCCCCTCCAGTCACAGTCCTCACAGAGCTTCAGGAAAGGACCCTTTTGCAGAGCTCTCTTTGGAGGATTTCTTATAAATCACTTTAGGTATTATTGCTGCTTGTTGGGGGAGATGGGGACTTATATACTTTAAAAATTTATCAAGTGTTAAACACAATTCACTCTTCTCCTTTGTTTCTTTAAAGGACTCTAGGTTCTCTCTTTTCCTCCTCCTTCTCTGTTCTTTAGGTGAAAAATAAAAATAGATCAAAATAGGACATAAGGACAAACAACTTTTGGAAAATACCTTTAACATAATTAGAAGGTGTGAAATCAAGGAACCATCTTTCATGTTTACATGTGAGCATCCACTGCCCACAGCAGATGGATGAGATCAAATACCACCCTTAAAAACTGGGTATTTTCATCAGTCTTAAAAGATTTGCATAGAAAACATAATTTTACACACTGGATTAGAGCTTGATTAGGAGCATCTCTAGTTTTAATATAATGTCCTTGAATGTTAGTTGTGAAGAATTCATTTTAACTGTTTCTTAAAGTGTTATGTTTATGTGTGCCTTTTCATTTAAAAATAGTAACATTTTCCCCAAAACAGACTTTTGTTTTATTTTTAAATTAAGGGCAAGGGAACACTTCTGTCCTTTTTGATAGAAGGATTCTGTGCTTGATTCACACTGCCTCTTTTTGTTGGAAGACAGTGTAATTTGTTCTTCTTGGTGCTCTAACCCCCAGTGTGTAGGTATATAGCTTCTAGATCTTTGAGAGTTTGTATTCTTCTGATTTGACAAGTTTATTAGCACATCTGCTTCAGTAATGTCTTTGGAGGAACAGTTTAAGGGAATTCATGAGTGAAGTATCTGAGCAAATAGTGATGCCCTGTTGAAATCTTTTCCTGTGTAGATCTTTGAGATTTTGATTTATGTTAGTAAAGAAATGATTTAGTAAGCATATTACAGTTCCCTCAATTATCTCTAATTTTATGACATCATTTGTAAATAATAATTCACACTTTGCTTTTCTAAATGAGATTTTTCACATAGAATATTTGTGTTTATGGAGAGATGTTCTGAACTTGTTATTGAAAAGTTGCTCGTTCATATTCTTTCTTCTCCATCTCTTGGTTTTTAATAATTAGAAAGATCTATTTGAAGTCCCTATAGTTAGTCTTTACATATTGAGTTTTGACACATGATAAGCTGATAATACTGACTTAGTTTGGTGATCAGCATTGTGATAAACATGCTATAAACATTTCTGGGCCAGTTGAATGGTAAAAGCCACAAAGCATTTTTATTTGTGAGAAGACTTCCTAGAATGCAGTGAATCAACTTACACTCTTTTTTTTTTTTTTTTCCAGATACAGTTTATGTAACTAGATGGAAGAGAATGGAATTATTCCAAAAAGACAAGTGCTCAAGCAGCAAATACTTACTTCGAGCAAAATCCAAACTGCTGTCTCTTAAACTCTCTTCTTCCATTAGAATGCTACAGTAACCCAGTGAAGGCCCATGAAGGAAATTGGGACTAGTATATAGGAGAACGTATCAATACAGTTTATAAAGCCAAGAATTGCCATGATTTCAGACTAAGATCTTTTTGGTGACTAACCCTTCAGTTCTTTCAACTCTTATTAATACCCATAATCAGTAACCTACCAAGAAAAAAGCCCTTATTTGGAAAGTGTGAAATTTGTATTTGGAAAAGCTGCCTGGAGAGAAGAGCTGTGTCCTTTCCTGTAATGCAACAGGACTCTTTTGGGGGGATCAAAATCATAATTCTTAATTAATGCAGTATCTTTCTTTTCTCCAGTCCTCACAGACACAGAAACAGTAACTAAAATTAACTTTTCTTTTAAAAAATTATATATTCAGTTTGCAGTAGACATTCCTTAAGTATTTGTATTTATTTATGATTATCAATTTACGTAACATTAATATTGTATCAGACCTCCTTATGAAAATGAGTATGGATGTAAACAGTATGTTTGATTTTTATCCATAAGAATGAATCTGATTCCGAATGCTTTTCAGCTGACATACAGAGCACTAAATATTTTAAGGCAAGTCCATAGGTCTGAATCGCTTCAGAATTCTCAGTCTCTATGGGATTTAGGGAAGCATTATAAATGCATTAATCCTTATAGTCAATTCTGTGCCTAGGATTTTGCAAGGGAACAGTTCACTGACTAGGAAAAGCACTACATTTTAAATTCAGCATTAGTGCATTGGGAAGGAACTTTACTGCTTTGTGCTTGGCATGTCATTATTTTCCATTTGACATTAGGGCCTTTCCAAAATGAATGTGAGGAATTGCTTTCACTTCAAGACTTTCCTTCTTTTCAGTAAAACTCTAGGAGGTGTTATGGGGGGAGGGAAGGGGACAAAATCCTTGAAACCTTTTATTTGGCTCATGCCATGTTATGATCATGTACCTTTTAAATAAGGGGAAATAGTATCTTTAAAGTTAATGTCTAGCCAAGAGTTTAGTTAACGAAGAATTAAACTGCACTGTTGATCGGTGCTTTGTGTAAATACATCTTAACGTTTCGGTTGAGAGGGGCCTTAAGAAGGACAGTTCGTTGTAGGAAAGCAATTCTGTACATGAGTTTAAGCATACTTGTTGCATTGTCTCTGCAGATTCTATTTTTGTTTACAATATTAAAATGTATGTTAGCAAAAATGGGTGGATTTTCAAATAAAATGCAGCTTCCACAAAATTTTTGTTATGGTATTCTGGTCTGAGGTGCATTTTTTTCCTTTTTCCTTTTTCCTTATCATCAGTATCATTTTTTGCTAATAAAAATATACCCAGGTGATTATATTTGCTGATTTAATAAAATGTAAATTTTATTTGTTTTAACTTAATTTCCTTAAGGATTTTTCTTTGTACTTTTTTGTCACTTTTTAGACTCATTGATAATCTAAACTACTTATTAAATTGTTTATGTCTTTTGATCAGATGCCTTCAGTCAGGTAAGTTTAAGGGAGAAAATGCTTGATGTTTGGCATATTAATGCATGTGTTTATTGTGCCAAGGAAACCTCTGACTGTATCGTGTTTCATATTGAAGAGTAAGTAGGATTCAGAGTACATGAGAAAGGGATTAAAGGCTTTGTGTTGATAATTATCTGCATAGTATTTGCCATGGTTGGAAAAAATTCATCTGTAGCCAATATACTTTGTTAACTTTACTAGTTTTTAAGTTTCACTATCATTAAACCATTTTCATATAAACTGGGAAATTGTACTTTTGTAGTTAACTTCCTTAACATTCTCACAGATTTTGATTTGTCTTATGTTGAGTGGATGTTCATATTTCAGGTCTATGGCTTGTCCTTTTATAATTACAGCAGCAGTAGTGTTTTGTATGTTTATGAAGGTGCTTTATAAATATTTTCATCCTATTGCTGAAAAAACTTCTGGGCTTGTTGGATAGGTATTATCCATATTTTACCCATTTTACAAATTGAAATCAGGAATTAGAAAAGGAACTTGATCAGGTTGATAAGCTAATAGAGGAGTCTGGTCTTTAGTTTCATGGTCCATTGTCCTTTTTATGACCTGCTGTTGTTAATTCAGGTGTATAAACTAAACAAAGATTTGTATCCCTGTGCAGTGTAGACCGATGACTACTCTTCATTTTTTATAGAAGAAAGTTTTATATAGAAAGTTTTATAGAAGCTTTGTTTTCCAATAGGTTCTTATTTAAAATAGCTCTTCCAGGGGCGCCTGGGTGGCTTCTCGTTTAAGTGTCCGACTTCGGCTCAGGTCATGATATCACTGTTCACAAGTTCAAGCTCTGCGTCAGGCTCTGTGCTGACAGCTCCGAGCCTGGAGCCTGCTTCACATTCTGTGTCTCCCTCTTTCTCTGTCCCTCCTCTGCTCACACTTTGTCTCTCAAAAATAATAAAAACATTAAAAATTTTTTTTGAATAGCTCTTCCATGGGGCACCTGGCTGGCCCAGTGGTAAACCAAGTGACTCTTAATCTCAGGGTCATGAGTTCAAGCCCCACATTGGACTTGGAGCCTACTTAAAAACACACAAAAACCATAGAATAGTTATCTGCTACGAAACGTAATTTTTTTGTGTGCACGTGCATGCACGAGTGGGGCAGGGGCAGAAGGGGAGATGGAGGTTTTTTTTTTTTTTTTCCAGCTACAAATATATATTTTACAATCCTTTTATTTTTATGGAAGTATAGTTAGCATACAGTGTTATAGTAGTTTCAGGTGCACAACATAATGATTCAACAAACGAATACATTACTCAGTGCTCATCACATTTAGTGTATTTTTTTCCAAATTTTTTAAATTTACATCCAAGTTAGCATATAGTGCAACAATGATTTCAGGAGTAGATTCTTTAATGCCCCTTACCCATTTAGCCCATCACCCTTCCAGCAACCCTCTGTCTGTTTTCTATATTTAAGAGTCTCTTAGGTTTTGTCCCCCTTCCTGTTTTTATATTCTTTTTGCTTCCCTTCCCTTATGTTCATCTGTTTTCTGTCTTAAATTCCTCATGAGTGAAGTCATGATATTTGTCTTTCTCTACTTTCACTTAGCATAATACTTTCTAGTTCCATCCATGTAGCTGCCAATGGCAAGATTTCATTCTTTCACTGCCGAGTAATACTTCTTTATCCATTCATCTGTCGATGGACATTTGGGCTCTTTCCATACTTTGGCTATTGTTGATAGTGCTGCTATAAACATTAGGGTGCATGTGCCCCTTCGAAACAGCACACCTGTATCCCTGGTAGTTTATCCCTGGATAAATACCTAGTAGTGCCATTGCTAGGTTGTAGGATAGTTCTATTTTTAATTTTTTTGAGGAACCTCCATAATGTTTTCCAGAGTGGCTGCACTGTCATAGACTCTGGGTCTAAAGTTTTCTCTTGTCTGGCAAGAGAGTAGGACTCAGGATGAAAAGCGGGAGATGGCTAAATGTCCAGGAAAAGACAAGAGCCCCGAATAAGGGTCCTTGCCTGTTTTTATTAGGATCAGAAGGCTTACAAACATGGCGGTGGATGTGCACAAAGAGACAATAAATCTGTGAACATTAACTTGTGGATGTGAGGGAAAGGGGGTCTTCAAGATATTTGGGGTTAGGGGTTTGGGTTAATAGAAAGCAAAATCCTGACGCCGGGCAGTCTGGCGGAAGGTTGTTTGCAGCGGACGTGAGGCAGCACCTTTGTTTATCTTAGCTAGCCTAAGGGATGAGACTGGGGAAATCACCTCAGGGTTGACAAGGCACCTTTTCTTTTGTTAACCATCTCTCCTCTGGGCTGCTTCACCTGCAGCACAGAGGTCTATAGACCTATTTACCTGTTTACCTAACAGTCCTTTCTTCCTGTGAAAGCAGCTTTCTGCTATAGTACTAAATTGGGGGTGCTTCCACTCTGAATATCTAATCTTGTTTATTTCCTATACCTATGTTCTATATTGGTGCCTGGGCACCTCCCTATTTTGGGGCCTTTGCCTCTCCCTCTCTATTCTGGGGGCTTAAGCCCCCTTTCTCTATCCTTACTCACCTAATCTTGTTTACCCAAACTCACCTGTGAGCAACCTATGGCTTTGTACTTCTTTATGCCTTGTTAATCCATTGGTGTAAGCCCGGGGGATTCCTAAGTTTATCCTCCACAGCTCCTCCACAGTTGGCATTCCCACCAGCAGTGCATAAGAGATCTTCCTGGGAGAGAGATTCTTAAGCAGGCTCCACATTTCAGCATGGAGCCCGAGGCAGGGCTCAATCCCATGACCCTGGGGATCATGACCTGAGCCGAAATCAGGAATCCAGTGCTCAGCCAACAGACTAAGCCACCCAGGCTTCCCCCAAAAATGATTTTAAGGTTGGTTTTGAAATAAAAATAGCCATGTGAGAATCGCCTGGGGAGCTAACCTTAGCTCAGTCTGAGCCTTCCACACTCAGGCACCCTGCCTGTCTCCCTTGAGACTGGGTACTTGTCAGCTGTCTTATACCCCATTTAAAGAAGCACAGGGTTATCATGCCCTTGCCCCTCGACTGGGACTGTAGGGAAGAAAGTATCAACAAAGTAGATCATCCCCACTCCCCACCTGCACCTGGACTCCATGCTGTCTGCACTAATGCAGAACTTCCAGTTGATTTCCTTGGCCTTTCTGGAACACTTTACATGGAAGCATCAGGCACACCACACGGCACTGCCAGCTAACTTAGGGGTCATGTTAAAAGGCACAAAATGAAATCTGTATTTCTCTGGTCACTTTTGTCCTGAAGTAGGGTAGGAACTGAAAAGCTTTTCGCTTCCATGTAATTGCTTGAAGGAGGCTCCAAGGGCCTGGAAAAGGCAGGCAGAGGCACTGTGGTAGAAGGGGGGGGAAAACAGATGACACGAAGCCCAATAAAGATGGCTGTGCCCATTGTTTGGTGTTCATAACACCTGTTGCTCGGAGCTGATCTTTTACAACCATTACACTCATATGTGGACCTTAATAATTTGATAGAATTTACGTCACATAGTGGCTCCGAAGTAGAAATGAAAGAATGACGGTTCACTTAATCTTACAAAGGTTAAGCTGGTGTCATTCTGGCCTAAAAGCAACAATACAATAGGATAATAGGAAATTATAGAAAATATAAGTCTCTGTTCCCTACTCCTGGCACAGAGTTCCTAAAACTCTTACAATTTAAGTGTTAGTCCTAGGAGCATCTCTTGTTTTAATTGGCCTTCCTGGTTCCTGACACAAAATTACTAAATCTCTTGGAATTTCCTGGGTGCCAGGGGTGTCTTGCTCTAATGAGGCAACTCTTGGCTCCTGGATGCCTTCAGAGAATGAAGGCTGCTCACTAGAAAAACCAAGCCAGTCATTAGAAGCCTCCATAAAAATCCCAGTATTAAGGGATCTGGAATAAAGAGAAGGTGGACTTTTAACAAGCTGTTTTTATCAGCACCATATATCTGGGGAAGGGGGATTGAGATTATCAAAGAAATAACTGTAAGTCTGGAATAAGGGCAAGTTCAGGGATAAATCCCAGAGATTATCTCCATTATTAAGGGATATATAGTAAAGGATTAATGGAGGCCAGGAAAAGAACAGAGCTGAAGATGAACTATTTTCAAAAAGACAGGAAATCATAACATGCTGGTGAAGATGTGGAGGAGGGAACTCTGTGTGCTGTTGGTGGGAATGTAAACTAGTACAGCCACAACGGAAAACAGGATGGGGTTTCTTCAAGAAATTAAAAATAGAACTAGGATCCAGCAATCCCACTTCTGGGTATATATCTGCAGGGAACAAAATCATGATCTTGAAGTGATACCTTACTCTCATGTTCACTGAAGTAGTATTCACTATAGCCAAGGTATGGAGATAACCTAAGTGTCCATCAGCAGATGAATCGATTTAAAAAATTGTAAGATAGGGGCGCCTGGGTGGCGCAGTCGGTTAAGCGTCCGACTTCAGCCAGGTCATGATCTCACGGTCCGTGAGTTCGAGCCCCGCGTCAGGCTCTGGGCTGATGGCTCAGAGCCTGGAGCCTGTTTCCGATTCTGTGTCTCCCTCTCTCTCTGCCCCTCCCCCATTCATGCTCTGTCTCTCTCTGTCCCAAAAAAAAAAAAATAAATAAACGTTGAAAAAAAAAATTGTAAGATATATATACATATACATACACACACACACTGGAATATTGACTACTTATTCTTAAAAATGAGGGAAATTATTGTCATTTATGAC